GTCCCCTTAATGACTTGGTTAACACATCTGCAAGTTGGTCATTTGACCCAACAAATTCACTACAAATTTCCTTGGACATTAATTTTTTCTGAACAAAATGACAGTCGATTTCTATGTGTTTAGTCTTCTCATGAAACACCGGATTTGATGCAATGTGGAGAGCAGCTTGGTTGTCACAATACATCTTCATGGTCTGGATTTCACAGAAATTAAGCTCTTGAAGAAATTGTTTTACCCATATGAGTTTACAAGTGAGAGACGTCATTGCCCGATATTCAGCTTCAGCGGATGATCGAGCTACTACATTTTGCTTCTTACTTTTCCATGAGATAACATTTCCTCCAAGGAAGACACAATATCTTATAGTAGAGCGTCTGTCAATAGGGGAGTCTGCCCAATCAACATCACAATACCCGAAGACTTGACCATTTTCTTTATCTCCATATAGTAAACCCTGTCCAGGAGCCTTCTTGAGGTACTTTAAAATACAGATGATGACATTCTAATGTCCAAGATATGGATTCTGCATAAACTGACTAACCACTCCAACTACAAAAGATAGATCAGGCCTCATAATAGTAAGATAAATTAGCTTTCCAACAAGCCGCCCATATCTCTCTGGATCAGAGAATAATTCACCTTCTTCTGTCGTTAGCTTCTGATTTGGGTCCACAGGACTATCTACTGGTCTATAGTCAATCATGTCTGTTTCTTGTAATATATCAAGAGCATACTTCCTTTGAGAGATTACAATTCCATATTTTGATTAAGCTACTTCAATGCCCAAGAAGTATTTGAGACTTCCAAGATCCTTGAGTTGAAAATGTCTACACAAGTACTCCTTTAGTTGAGATATTCCAACAGTGTCATTTCCTGTAATGACTATATCATTAACATATACTATTAGGTAAACACATTTCGTGAGAGATGTATGACAGTAAAAGATAGAATGATCTCCTTCACTACGTCTTAGCCAAATTTTTTGAACAATGGAGCTGAATTTTCCAAACTAAGCACGTGGTGATTGCTTGATGCCATATAGAGAATGATGCAATTTGCATACTATACCAGACTCCCCCTGAGCAACGAACCTAGGAGGTTGTTCCATGTAAATCTCTTCCTCAAGATCACCATGGAGGAAGACATTTTTTATATCCAATTGATGAAGTGGCCAGTGAAGAATGACTGCCATGGCAAAGAAAAGACGAATAGTAGTCATCTTGGCCACGAGAGAGAAAGTGTCACAATAATCAAGACCATAAACCTAAGTTTATCCTTTTGCAATCAATCGAGCTTTGAGTCGATCAACTTGACCATCAGGACCAATTTTAACTGCATACACCCATCAGCAACCAACAACCTTCTTACCCAGTGGGAGGGGCACGAGCTTCCAAGTATGACTGTGTTCAAGAGCCTGCATCTTTGCAATCATGGCTTGTCGCCATCCAGGGTGATCAAATATTTCATTCACATTCTTGGGAATAACAACAGAAGATACTGAAGATAAAAGGGAATAATAGGAAGGCGATAATCTGTGATAGCTAAGACAATTATAAATGGGATGTGGATTTTGAGTGGAACGAGTACCTTTTCTGAGAGCAATGGGTCAGCCTGAATCACCTTCACCAAGAGTCGTGGTATCAAGGGACGAGGGAGAAGTATCTGAAGTAGGGGATTCACCATGTTCTTGGAAAATGGGATTATCTATCTAGGAGGTATGAATAGGTGGAGATGATGGCTCAGGAGGACTTTGATCAAGACTTTGACCAGGACTGACAGAGACATTGGAAAGATTGTACTCAACCACTGGAATAGGGAGGCTCTGCTATATGATATGAACATCTTGAACAGATGAAGAGAAGTAAGGGGTCTGTTCAAAGAATACGACATTGGCAGACATGTAATATTTTTTCGTTTCAGGAGAGTAACAAAGATACCTTTTCTGAAGACGAAAATAGTCGAAGAAGACACATTTGAGAGAACGAACAGAAAGTTTGTCTAACCCTGAAGACATGTCATGAACAAAACATATATAACCAAAAATACAGGGAAAAATGTGGAAATGAGGATTATTTGGATCAGAATGGAGACAGGGACCCTATGATTGAGAGAGGATGACATTCGATTAATAAAAAAACATGCAGTTAAGATGACATCTCCCCAATGATGGACTGGAATATAGACACTAAGCAAAAGGGTACGAGCAATTTCAACCAAGTGTCTATTTTTCCTTTCTGCTATACCATTTTGCTGTGGCGTATGAAGATAAGTGGATTGATGCAAGATACCATGTGAACTCAAAACAACAGAAAAAGCAGATGAAAAGTATTCCTTGTCATTGTCACTTCTCAAGATTTTGATCACTTGCCCAAATTGATTCTTAATTTCATTTTAAAAGGATGTGAAGATGGATAATAATTCAGAGCGATCTTTCATAAGATAAACCCAAGTACATCTCAAAAATTTATTAATGAAAGTAACAAAATACCTAAAACCAAAAGATGAGACACGACTAGGTCCCCAGATATCAGAATGGATGATAGAAAAAATAAAATTACCTTTTGATTGAGACCTTTTAGGAAAGACAAATCTAACATGTTTGCCTAGTTGAAATGACTCACAATCTAAGGTTTGGAGACTACTAAGTTCATGAAACATTTTTTTTAACTTGGACAGATGAGGGTGGCCAAGCCGATCATGTAACATTTTAGGACTAGGGGCTGCAACACATGACACTCGTGGACAAGATCCAAAATGATATAATCCTCCTGCTTCATATCCTTCTCTAATCTGTCTCCCCGAACTATGCTCTTGTATAACAAAATATTTGTTATAGAAGGTTACTGAACAATTTATCATTTTGGTTAACTGACTTAAGGAAATTAAATTGAAGGGACAATTAGGGAAAAAAATGACAAATTTTAGATTTAAAGAGGGAGACAGGATGACTTGACCGACTCCCTTTGAGGAAGTTTTAGAGGCATTTGCAAGGGTTATAAAATGAGGTTTGTCTTGAAGTGAAATGGTTGAGAACAAGGAGGTATTACCAGAGATGTGATCAGAAGCACCAGGATCAATTACCCAAGAATTGTGACTTTCCATGGATTGAGAGATGCAAGTTGTTAATGTACTTAGAGCTTGAGATGGCTGTGCCAGGCTGTTGGAATTGAGTCGTAGGTACTCTTGATACTCGTCCTCAGTGAACTTGGGTTCAGTCATTTCAGCCTGAGAGACATTGGCTGTTTTGGATGGAAAACCGTGTAAGGAGTAACAGTTTTTCTGAGTGTGACCCATCCTTTTGCAATATGTGCACTGAGGACGCCCACGACCACCACGTCCGCCTCCTCTAGTTCCACGTCCTCCTCTTCCTTGAGTGGCAACCATAACAAATGGTTCTACTAGAGTAGGAGTTTCCAGAGTTCCATGTGTTGGGACATGAACCATGCGTTGGATTAAAGTGTCCATGGAAGAGACCTCATGAGAGGTTAGAAGCTGATCTCTGATATGGTTGAAGTCTGGATGTATAGCGCGAAGAATCATCACCATATAGTATTTGTCAAACTTCTTCTTCATTTCATCTGAAGCGTCGACCTCCAAGAACATCTGCAGGTCTTCCACGATTGATTGTGCTTCATTCATGAAGGAGATCATATCATGGTTGGTCATTTTCAGATATGCCAGCTTGTTTGCCGAATAATAAAGGCGTTGGATATCATTGACATATATGTTTTGAGTCCTCTTCCAAAAAGAGTGACATGTCTTGAAGGCCCTAAGAGACATTAAAAGTCTTGGCTCCACGGATTGCCACAACAGGGCACACAACTGAAAATATGCTTGCTTCCATTGTTCGGCTTTTTCTTCAGGCACATCGCTTCCGTCTTTCTCAAGATGGTCATGATGTCCCTGACCAAGGAACCAAATCTCGACGGTAGCGGATCAAGAGACGTAATTTTGTCCATTTAGCTTCTCGGAAGTAATGGAAGGACTTCCAGAGAATGAAATAACGCTTCCATTTGCCATTTCTGATCAAAAGGACGAAAATAGAGAGTGGATACGCAAAAAACAACAAACATTTTTGAAAGCCCTAGGGAGATTTTCGAAAGCAAGACGCCTAGACTTCACCAAAACTTAGTTTGGAAGGTCAAAACGAATAGAGGAGATTCGGGCGAAAGCTACTGAGGTGGCACAATGACGATACAATGAGTGCACAACGACGCATGAACTACACACGCCTGGCTATAGCGGACGAAGATGGTGCACATGGCAGCGCGTCGCGAGGAGTCTCCCTTTGGCTCTGATGGGGATAGCTTTCGCTTGGAGAGGTGGTCCAAATCTAGTGGTTTCCGAACAAAACTGCGATGGCTATCGGCAGCGGGCGGCGGAAGGCGGCAGACAGCGACGAAAAGATGCTTGACAATGTTGGACAATCCAACAAAGCAGAGAATAGCTTCAGATAGTGATAAAACTGAGCTTGAACGGTCGCGGACAGTGGTGGCTAATGGTGGACAGCCGCGGACAGCGGTAACTGATGGTGGTGGACAAGACCAGACAGAAACCAGAGTGAGATTGACCCGCTCTAATACCAACTTAAGATTAATAGAGAAAAAATATATCTTCAAGGCTCACGGGACCCTTCTCCCTTTCTTCTATTTATAATGGAAAAAATATGATACAATGATACATAGAAGACTAAGTAAGAGACTGCAACTAGGACTCTAGGTGCAAACCTAGATACAAATGTAGCAAGTTTCTTACACTTAACACCCTATACTTATGTCTAATGATAATACTAGGAAGCAATGATTCTAACAGTGATAAACCTCCTCTACCAACTACATCAAATCTCATTTGAAAATATGGATTGTGATTACTGAGAGCATCTACAATTCAGAGAAACAACAATAATTTTCGCATTCGAAATCTTCGTGAAACTAAATTTCCACATTAATTGAATTTTTTTAGAAGAAGTTATTAACCAAGCAAGTATGACCATCTTCACAATGGACTCTTCTTCTTTGGATAATGTGTATTGCTTTCTCTTTATTGTTGAATCTTCTGTAAGTATCTCATCATTTCTTCTTCAATATTGTCATGAAGTGTTTCTTGAAGAAGTTGATCTTGAAGTGTGTTAAACTAAAAAAATATGAATCAATTGAACAAGTGAATAAAGAGAAAATAAACAATATTTGACAGATTATATAAAATGTGAATGTCTTCAACTAACTACTAGTTTTACAATGACTAGTTTTATTCATAACAACATAATGGCTATTTAAAACTAACTTAAAACTTAATGAAATGCTACATAATATTATTACATATAAAACTTATGCATAATGTAATTATAGGTGACTTTGTGTTTCTTGTGATTTTTAGACATCTCTAATGTGTGTCATTCATTAGAATTTTTTACATCACCATTATATTTTTTGTCTATTGTATCTCTAGAATTCTTTTGTGCACATTAGTTTTTTTTTCCTAATTACAGTTTCCACACCTATCATGTCAATTGTCAGGGTAAATATTGCAACACCTTTTCCTTTCATCTTCTTGTTGGAAGTCTTTTGTCTTATTGGATGATCAATTCATAATGGTGTGTTACCATTTAAAATCTTAGTTCCTGTCTTTAGATGAGAAGACAATGAGTATTCACCACTAGTAAAAATTTATAGTCTTTTTGAACTCATTTCTTTATGTTGATATAATCATTTAGGTTATCGTTATCCATACTCCAAAGTAAAATTAAATAATTCATCTTCCTTTCAAATAACATATGCATTGATTATGACATTGTTCTTTGTGTAACCACTTTTCTTCACATCAGTTGCTTGCTTGTAATGACCCTTTAACTCTTGAATACTAACATTAATTTTTTGCTATCAATATTTGACTTGATTTAGTATCCTCTCTTTTACATTGTCTAAGAAAGTTGTAAGTTTGAGTTATTCTCAACCAAAATTGATCTTTTGATTGACCATCACTAACAACTAGATCCATTAATAAATTAAGCCAATAGCCAATGAGATGTATATAATCTTCAATTGAGAAGTAATTCTTTTCTTATTTTATGTAGAATTTCCTTTTTTTGTTATATTTTCTAACCTAATTTGGGTAAAAATTGTGGAAATTATATTTCAATACCATCATTGAAGGATTTTGTGAGGTGTTAGAACTAATGGGAGACTTATTAAACATGCTTGAAAATTATGCCAAATTAAAGGGAAAGTTTGAGAATTTTCAATGGAAGGAAATTTAGTATTTTGCATCATATCACTAGTGGTAACAATGGAAAGAAAGGGAAAAATAGAGGATTTTTAAACTTTGGGTAATTGGTTGTGGTGGTGACTTGAAGGGAAAAAAAATGAAAGATGATTTTGAGAAATATCAGTTGAGGAAACTATTTGTTAGTTTTTCAAAAAAATTAAAGTAAGTTTACCAATTGAATTGATTGGATCCATTTGGAAAGGAGAAAAGAAAATATCAAATTGAAATTAAGGTTGAGAATGCTATTTTTTTTTATATAACTTATGTTTCAAAATTACTAATTTTATACAACTTTTCTATTTAAAATAACAAAAATTTAATAGGAAATGTTAAAATAATATAAGTAATTTTATTATACACAGTTAACAAATATTATACATAGGTAACATTCATTATATTTTTAGTTTGATAATTTTATTATTATTTTTTATTAAGTCATTTTTTTTCATTTTTCATATACCTGTATATCATTCTTTTCCATTTGATTTTTCAACTTTCGGCTCCCATGATTATTCTTCTCCAAGTTCAATGCAAAAACATTTACCCAAATCTAATGGTTGCGGTGGTTTAAGAGAAATTTTCAAATAAATTATATAAGAGAACATGATATCATATTTAACTCAAAACCTTAAAATATTAGGTCATGAGTTTTTCTCACTTATAAATTATTCAACTTTCTCATTTTTATCAAACGTGAGATTTTAAATTCCCACTTAAATTCTCTAACATTTTTCCATTCACTAGACTCCATTTCACTCCCTCACTCCCCTCCTCCCACCGTTTCTCCCCTTCACCTTAAACTACCATCCCTCGCTCTCTCCTTTCCTTCTTTTTTTTTTTGCCATCTTCTCGTACTTCTCTCTCTCTCTCCACATCCCACGACTTTACCCCATAAAAATCACTTACCATTTAACATATATTGACTTCTCTTTATTGTTACCAGATCTAGTACATTTGTGGTTCCTTCACACTACTTTTGTTGTCACATAGTGCATTTGTATTTCATTTGCAATAGTCTATTAGAGAATAAATATTAAAAAATAATTTTTTTTGAAGTGGTTAATAGATCTTGGGAGTTCATGTGGAAGAACCTATTTCCATGGTGAAGATCTTCCTTCATTGTATGGTGTAAGATCTTGAAAATGTGATTCCTTAATATTAACATATGTAAGCAAGACCTTGCGATAAACATGTTGTAAGGTCTAACAATGTATAAGGATTATATAGGAGAGAATGATGAGTTACGAGAGTAGTAATACAAGAAAAGATAGGAGAAAAATCAAATGTATTAGAGAGAAAGTTCAAGGGAAATTTATGCAAAAATTGATAAAATTGTGTATAAGATGATTTGGAGAAAGTTAGAGTGAAGTTTATAAAATTTGGTAAAGTAGGATATAAGATTATTTGGATGTACAAGAAAAAAGACCAATAAAAAAATCATTTTGTTCCATTATTATTTTCAAGTTATTTGGTGTGTCAATAATACTTACAATGTAATGTTGACGTGACACTAATATATCTATGCCATGTGACATATGTATTGATATTGTGGATTCCATTAATATGTCAGCACCACACCATCTTTACACATCAATGTCACGTCATCAAGCATGACCATATTAATACTGTGACACATTTTGTTGGAGAACTTAACAAAGTCGATGAAAGGGACAACATTGATTCATTTTGTGAAAAAAAAAATGACCAAATTGATATTAAAAATAACATCGAGACAAAATTGAAACAAATAAAAAAATAGTGTGAAAAAAAGATATTTAGTCATATAAAAAGAAACTAAATTAAAAAGATTTCACAAAATCGTGTCATTCAATTCTTACACGACCCAATGAAAAAAAAAACTAATATTTTATTAAAATTATACCTTATAATTTTCTTTCTTTTACGAAATCTACAAGCGAATATTACATAAAGTATTATCTAAACAAACATTTTTTGGAAGATTTCATTTTAGGCAACGATGTAATGATCATAATATTAGTATGGTTTTTTTTATTGTAGGAGGAGCTTCAATTGGCATTGTTTCATACCCCATACGAAAAAAATCTTTTCCTAGATCGAGTAAGCAATTTCTATATTCCTTAAGAAATGAAACCTTTTAGGATTAGTTTATTGTATGAAGTTAGATAGTGTGCATGATCTATTAGGTTCAAATCTCATTGCAAAAATTGGACAATAAAAAATTTAAAATGTGATATTTTCTTTGTTATGGTTATTGTATTTATGATATTTCTTGCATATTTGTTAAGGCATGTCAATTCGGGTGGGTTTGAGGCCAATTTTGTGTCCTTGCTCTATATCTCTATCTCAAAATCTTGGCGATCGTAGAAATTGGGTTTATGTATTCATTCTATTGGAATTTTGGTTTTTTTTGTCCTATCCAATAGTCTCAATTTAAAAAAAAATTAATAAATATAGAAATTTAATTATGATTACAACAAATATATATCACTCAATGTGTGAGAGAGATTGGAGATTAAGGATAATATCTTACTATTTAGGTCAAATTTGAATATGTAGGACCAAGTAACAAATTAGTTATTCTTCCCTAACACAAATTTAATTTTTGTAATAAGAGGAAATCTAACTAAAAACTGATCAATTCATAATTTTTCATCAAATTTATAGGGTCCATCCCAAAGCGACGAAATTGATTGATAATTGGAAATGAAATTATCTACGATGATTCACCCTTAAGTATATTGGAAATGAAATTAAGTTTTTAGGTTAATAGGTGAAACAAGCAAGACTTTTTTCATTTTGTTTTTAGTCTTTTACGTTAGAAAATGGTTCAACATTATTGTGAAAGACTTAAATTTACGTGGCATAAAATGATCAACATTAATTTATGTTGAATATTTAGACGATCAATGTTAATTGACATCAAACTTTTAAAGTAATAAAAAAATAGTTTCAAAAAAGCATGCACAAAAATAAATTTAGTTTTTAATATTTTCACATTTTTTTTATATTAGTCAATGTCGTTGCATAATTATCGCTATCAAAAGCTCACTCTTTTCCATGACAACGCAGTTATGCCATGAGGATACTTAATTTATTTTTTTGCAAAAGATCACCCTCTCCCAACATGACAAAGACAGTCTCTGAATCTGATTCCATGTCAGAAGTTCTTTCTTTCTACGTCTTGTGTAATCCAGGTTGTATCAACACATCTTTGACTTGAGTTTGCCACAAGCCAAAATGGATCATTCCATCAAATTTCTCTGTCACATTTGACAACACTTGCAAATGACATTACAACTTCAACAACCAAGGATGATTATCTAACAACAAGAAATTAATCTTTTCTGATGTGGAAGATTAGACTAATCTGCAACCACAAAACATACTAAGAAAAATCCTACTGAACCATAAGTTCTGATAACACTCTGATGGGAAAAAATGTCATAAAGAACATTACCATTTATCCCAGAGAATTACCCTACTAATAGAGAAATAAGAGAAAAACAATCAACACAAGAATATAATGTGGAAACTCCAAAAATCGGAGAAAAATTACGACCGTTATCTAATGATAACCAAAAAATAAACACTATGTGAAATTTTTTACAATACATAGACAACTCTCTCGTGTCCTTGACCCCAAGTACACTCACACTCTCCAAAATAATAATTTAAACTAAACCTCACAACACTCTACTACAAGAGTATAATAAAAGTCAAATATAAGCTTAAAGTATCTTTGACTGGAGTGAAAAACCTCATGGACTTTAAGCCTAGTGGCGAATCTTCTTGGGAATTGAGGGGCCGTGACCGCCCTAAAGTTTTGTAACTCCTATATAATTTATGATTTTGACCCCCAAACTTAATGAATATTTAATATATTTACTTGTATATTTACAATTTTATCTTCTTAGCTCGCTCCTCATCCTCAATTTTGTAACTTTCATATAATTTTTGATTTTGTCCCCCTCAAACTTAATGATCATTTAATATATTTAAGTATATATCTACAATTTTATCCTTTCACCCTTTCATTTTCTTTCTTCATTTTATATTTATTTATTATTTATTAATAATATATTATTTGGCTTCTCAAAAATCAATGGTCAAGATCTGCCATTGTTTAAGCCCATTATATAACTATTATTACCCATTTCATTGTTTATCCAATGTGATATGAGACTTTTTAAGATGTAAAACTAAAATTTTAAATGAGCAAATAACTAAATAATGTATTCATTCCTATAGAGTAAAAACGAATTAATATTTCATATAAAAATAAATTTTAAATTTAAAAACTAATTTCAAAATTGAAAACAAAAAACAATGATTGAATAACAAAAACAATCATGAATTCAATTTCAATAACAACAATTTAGAAGGAGAGAAATTCATGCATTACCATGATTAAGATTCTAAAAACAACTACATGTTCACTTTCAATAAAAAAGCAAAGACATAAAACTCTAACTTTAGTTCTAAAAAAAACCCAATTGTTCCAATCCAATGGAGGAGAAATGTTCGCAACTACAAATAAGTCACAACATTGGTGTTTCCATTGCTCAGCGTGGTTGGAAAACACTATCGAAGGTGTCCTAAAGTCACTCTTGCTGACATTTGTAGAAATAACCCTGGCGCACATGGGATAAGAAGTCACTAATAGAATAAAATACAATTTTTACGTTGAAACATATGAGGTTCAATGTAAAAAAAGTTTTTCTTATTTTAAAAAATGTCAATTATTTTTATTTTATATTTTATATTTTTTTAAAATGCAACTACTATACCTTTAAGATACTAATGTGATAAACTATTCTTGTTCTTCTTCAGGTTTTTGATGTTTTTGACCAAAAAAGAAATGGGGTAATTGAGTTTGACGAGTTTGTCCTTGCACTTAGTGTTTTCCATCCATATGCCCCCATAGATGAAAAAATTGATTGTACGTTCAAATTGAAGAAAATCTTTTGATCAAATGAAATTCATTTTTTCTTCACATCTAATCTTCTTTCCTCAATGATATTTTGTAGTTGCATTCAAGCTCTATGACCTGAGGCAAACTGGATTTATTGAGCCAGAGGAAGTAAGTGTACACATTCTTATAAGCCTTCGCGGTGTAAGTTTATTGTTTAACAAATCTTTGATGTAGTTCCTTAATCACTTTTTAATTAGAATCAAGCTAACTTTCATAATAACATTTCTATATATTAAAACTAAATTACACTAGTGTAACACTTTTTTATATCATCGTTTTTAGAGACTAAACTTTTTATTGTTTTAACAATCACGTTGACATTTTTTATAAATTATACTAATATTCCTTAATTATTTTAAAAAAATATTATAACTTATACCCTTATAAGGTGATTATGGTAAACATAAAAAATATATATATGAAGTGTAATCCAAAATTGCTAATGTAAATTTTTTATTAATCATGATACGATTTTCTCATAACTAGTAATGCAATAGAAGATCTTAAAGTACACAAGGTCAGTAATCCTTTTATATATATATATATATATTATTGTTTGATGATTTGGTTACATGGTTTCCTTGGTTTTTAGGTGAAGCAAATGGTTGTAGCCATTTTGATAGAATCAGAGGTGAATCTTCCTGATGATCTTCTTGAAGCAATTGTTGACAAGGTAATTTCTAACCAAATAAGAAAATTTAGCTTCAATGTGGCATACTGATTGTAGGACCTGACAAACTTTTTTCTTTTTTTTTAAGACAATTGCTGATGTGGATAAGGACAATGATGGTAAAATCAGCAAAGAAGATTGGAAAGCTTTTGTGAGTCAAAATCCATGCCTCTTAACAAACATGACACTTCCTTATTTGAAGTATGAGTTTTACAACATTGGGACCCTTCTTTTTTGTGGTTACCCTTACCTATTATTTCTCTCTGTCTTCTGACGCTGCAACTATGCACTTTGTGGATCTATCAGGGATATCACCAGTGTGTTTCCAAGTTTTCTTCTCAAAATGGAGGCAGAACTTTAAGGTCATTTTTTGGTTATCTTGGCTTCAATATGATTTCTGTTTGAGGTGAATGATTGAGATGCATTGTTGCTAAACATGATGAGTGTTTTATTAACAAACTACCCCAACAAACAATGCTCCTGTGTCTACATTTTCAGCTTCTTCATGTTATATCATTAGTACAATCCGCTTGAATTGAAATTTTATATTAGAAAAATTGATTATGAAATATAAAACAAACAACATGGAGGATGGTGGCAACAATATCATATAAAATATTGCATTCATTAAACAAATAATCAACCATTTTTACGTTAATTTTAATTTTTTAACAAAGGATTGAAATATGATTTATCCAACCTCCCCTACTATTTCATTCACATCTTACTACCAAATTAACCTTATAACCCCATGGTCAACAACGTAACTACAACAGGAATAATTTAACGGTAAAAAATTAAATTAAATCACTTTATTCACATAATCAAATTTTATAATACTTTATAGTGATTGATAAGTTGTGTATTAGTTGGGAGTTGAAGTTAATTTTTAATTTATTGGATGGTTTTTACAAATAAAATTATCAAAGAAATAAAAATTTAAAGTGATAATATCTTATAAAAATTAATTATGGTAATATTATCATAATAAATATATATCCCACAATCTTTTGTTATTAAATAAATAAAATTAATTCTTTACCCCTTTTGCTTGATTTTCTTACCGTGAAATGAGTATAATAAAAGTTTTAACAACCATTTAAAAAAAAAACTTACGGATGAAAGAATTTTGAAAATAATTAAAAAAAAAGATTAAAAAAATACGCAAGAGAGTTATAACTGAACAATTTACTTGAGAGAGTTACGAAGATGACTGAAATTATATTCAAAAGTTATATACAGACAAAAGTTGATAGATAATTGAAAAATAAAATCTCTATATGTAGACAAAAATAAATTAATTATTTTATAATATTATTACTGGAAACATGTGTTAAAATATGTATATGTCTAATTTTTTATGTTTATTAATTTATTTTAAATTTTTTATTTTATTTTCACTTATTTAATATACTACGTCTTTTTTTCATTAATTGTAAAGTGTTGTACTTTTTTTCTATTAATTTTTTAAATATATAAATAATAATAAAAAAATTATTTTTCTTATATTATCTCCATTTTATAAATTATAATATATTATATAAGTTGATTTTTTTATATTATAATTTTTTTTATTTTTTATTTTTTCTCTTTCATTTTTTAAATATGTGAACATTCTTTTTTATTCATAGTATCATATCATACTTTCTTTTTCTCTCTTTTTACTTATTTTTTAAATATATAAATAAATTATTATTATTATTTTCTATATTATTTTTTATCTTTTATAAATATAAAACATTATATATTTATGATACTTTTTTCTTAAAATGATTATAGAAAAACGAATTTTTATTATATATAATATAGACTAGAGAAACACATGTTAGTCATCAAGAAGTGTCCTGTTTTTTAATACCATCTTTGTTCAAAAAGTGTTTTATTTGTAATTTTAGATGAGAATGAAAGATAGAAAATAATGTGTAATTGGTTGTTAAAATTACATATTAAAAAAATGGTGTTAAAAAGCATGTTTTTCTCTTTATAAACAGTTGTTTTTACAACTCAGCTCAAGGTTCGGTCGCCATATACTCTGTATTCTCTCTGCATCTGATTCTAAAATTGTGAAAAACCCAGAAGCAGAAGAAGCAATGGCAGACAAGCCAAGTCGATCCTTGGTCTTATTCGGTGATGGCTTTGCTCGTTTCGTTGATTCATCGCACTCCCATCTTCACTCGCTCGCTTCTCTATCTTCCTGCGGTCTCTTGAGTCTCCCCAATTCTCCACCCACAGGTTCCCTTCTTCTCAATCCACAGCCTCTATGTGTTTGTTACAATGATCAGCACACACTTTTCGATTTATTTTTCTCCCATTTGTGCCCCTGCAACATTCAAATTCACTTGGATATGTAGTTTTCAGAAAGCGGGGATGAGAGGGCAGTTAGAGAATTTGCAGTGCTCCTGGATTCATGCCACACTTATTCCAATATCGTGAGACCCATTTGCTCAAGTTTTGATTTTCTTTTCTCCCTTTTCATCATTGTGATCTTTTTTTTTTCCTTCCTTGTTAGAAGGGGCAAACCAGTGATGGTGACAGTCAAGAGGATCCACCAAAACAAACCTTGTCTAATAGGTACTCTCTTTATTTGTTTTCCATTTTCAATTTTGTTGTTTATAAAGGTTAAATTAATCTTTTTGTATGTGTAGATAAACTTCTCTATAGAGTTTATAATCGTTTGGGTTATGTATGGATTTATAAGAGAAGAAAATGCGAAGGTAAATGAAATAAGTTTTTCCTGTAAGTTGAAATTAGGCCATGAGTAAGTTAAAATGAGTCTTTGAAAAATTTAAATGAGATGGTTGAGGTGAATAAAATGAATTTAGCTTGTATGAGAAACTCAACTTATTTTACCTTTTTATTTTCTTCTTTTACAAGTGCTTATTGAGAAGTTATCCAAACATGGTCTTGATCTATAGGTGACACTCATTCAAGTATAGAAAAAAAGGTAAGTTTTAGTCCTTAGAAGTATAAAGACTAAAAGTTTAGTTTTTAAGGGACTAATAACAAGGACCAATGTGTACTACATAAGGACTTAAAGGTACTAAAAGTTCAAATTTTTTCAGAGAGGAACTGATACTTAAATGAGTGTCATCTGTGAGGATCAAATGATTGATTTAAATAGATCAAATAAAATGTTCCCTTTTCTAAATTCAGGTTTATGGGAATGAAAGCTGCTATTTTGACCGACAATTCAAGCTTGAAGTCTTTTAGTGCCAAAATTGGATTTAGTGTTCTTCAATTGGATGAGTTAGTGGGAGGTCGTTCTGCTGAGGTTGTGGCCCTTGAGCTGCTCAAGTTGCTTGGCCTTCTAGAAGGGAAGGTGCTAGACAGTGACCATTTTGATCTTGTTTTCTTTCACATTGGAGCTGGTGAACAAAAAGTGGTTGGTGCTGATGTGGGGTATATGAATGCCTTGGTTGGAGGAATAATGAGTCAAGCACGGCTTGGTTCTGAGATCGGTTCACGTTTGCACTTGTCCGTTGTCATGAGCTATGGCAATGTCTTGGAAGGTGATGATTCTAAGTTTCCTGTGTCAAAGAGGGTAGATGAGAAGAACTCTCATCTTTCGGTGCTTTATCCTCTACAAAGTTATGCTATGAAAGGAGGGATTCCTCGAAAGGATGTAAGGTAATTAAAGCAACATTTGGCACATGGACAGAATGAAATAGAAAATTCATTTCATTTTGTCCTTGGTTCTATGCTTTTAAGTGGAACCAAATGGATAATTTTTTTACCCCTTGTGTTCTTTTGTATTTTCAAAATAGGCCAAACATAAAGTGAACTCATGTTATGATATGCACATGTCCACCAGATACTACCTAAGTTATAGTAATTGAAGATTAGTAATCTTTGCTTCTTCTTTGGATTGTCTTGAATAGTTATCTCATATTAAATGATACAGGTCCTATTCTCCCATGTTAATTGCTCAATGGCAATATGCTGTGACTCGCAAGGATAATTCAGAGAGATTTTCTTTTCAAGATTTTATGGAGGTTTGTTATACTTCCGGTTTTATTTACAATTGAGTAATGATTTTTTCCAATTAGTGTTTCTATTTTTGCTTTGGTTGGTCGTGCTCGTGCTCTATTTCTTGATCTTAATGAAGTTCTGTGAACACAACGTACTTCAATCTTTAAAACGTTAAAAGTGTCATGGTTTGAGTGCTAGCCATTATGGAATTATCGTAGGCTTGTTATTCGTTTATGCGATGCTGTAATTCTTGGTTACTGAATAACCTTTGCTTCAATATTTTTCTCATTTCTTGCCATGCAGCATGGTGGAAATCTTACAATACCGGCAGATAGGTTCTTGCATGAGATAGCCTTTAAGCTTTGGAAAGCTCCCAAGTATGGAGCCTGATTTCCTTTTTTGTGTACTTTTTCAACTTTTTGATGCCCTCTTGTCATAACAGTATAGCTATTTAAAAGTTCTGATTAACATGTTTACTTCGGACTCTAAAGTCCAAACTCTGTTGCATCATGCAATAACTAATAAGATTTTGATTATTGAACGATACACCTATCCACTCATTCTTGGATATCATGTGATTATCACATTGAGATATAAAATAAAACACAAATAGATAGAATATATTTGACCTTATTATCATAATCAACTTATCCATCTACGTGAAATGTATATCTACCAAGTCTCGACATGGTTCTGGTTTAGTAATACAAATAGAAACTACAACAAATGACAGAAGACTGTGGTAATAGCCTATCTTAAACAATAATAAAAACACCAAAGTTCATAATAGAAGATTGTAGAGAAAAATGATACTCGAGATCTTGCTCTCAACTTATCTATTAATATATATATATATTAATTAATTAATTAACATTATGTGAGCGTGTCTATTAATAGATATGATGGTTTAGGGTTTCTAAAATAGAAGCACAAAGGGTGATAACAATCTAAACTTAGAATCCTATATGATTGACTGATACGATTGGAAACAACTTTTACGAAATGATTTAGAAGATAATAATAAACATTTTCTAACATACCCTCAAACTTGGTTTGTAATAATTAAATTCGGTTGTCAAAGAGGTTTCTTTTTTAGTCATAAGTATAAATTATAATGCATCACACTATATTGATTGTAATCCTAAATAGGTTAGCTCATTAGTTCATATCAATCATTTGCATCATTCCTTGTATATTATTAAAAAGAGAAAACGAAATATAAGATAGGGGATCATACCAAAGCCATTAACAAGAAACTAAATAGACCTAATGATATCTTTCCCTATAAAAAACTATAACTAAATTAAGAAAGGAAGGCGTTTCATCTCATCAACAATCCAACTCTCACACACACACACACACACACACATATATATATATATATATATATATATATATGAGAAACTTTAAATCTCATATTCTTATGTATATTAATGTTTGGATAGCACTAGTACTATTACTCTCTATTCAGAAATGAAACCATCTCTTTTGATGAGACAATTCAATAGCATTCATAATACCAATAAGATCTACTTCCGAATTGGTGTGTCTACCTAGGAAGATTGAAAATCCCCCATGAAAGTTGTTCTATAATCATGAAAGATCATCCCACTACAAGCATCCTTCAAAGAATCCTTGGTACTTCTTGTTAAACTCTATTTTCATTCTTTGTGATCTAACATTTCCGTTTTCTTTTTTTTTGTTACTCCTTATTATCTCTCTCTCTCTCTCTCTATATATATATATATATATATATATATATATACTTCTCTTTCATATAAAAAATATATAAGTGATCTTTTGTTTGTTTTCTTCTCGTCTACCTATCTTTACTTTCTCTTTCTTTTTCGTTGTCATGAAGAAGCACCAAATCTAGTAGTTTGTTTACAAGTCTGATAAGTCTCGCACATACCATCTTGTTATGGTATTAGAGTTCTTGGTTTGAAGAGCTTTGTTGCGCACTCCATTCTTCTTCCTTTTATCTTGATGAGTTCTTGTTTTCTTTTCTTTCATCATGGGGGAAGAACAATCTATTCACATTTTCTTTACCTTCATCCTAGTGAAAATCTGACCACCGCACTTGTTTCATCCGTTCTTGATCCATCCAATTATCACTCATGGAGTAGGTATATGGTTATTGCTCTTAGTACAAAGAATAAAGTTGAATTGATTTATGGGACTATTCCTCAGCCACCCACGTCCGACGACACCTATTATACCTAGAATCATTGCAATAATATGGTGGTATCTTGGTTGGTTCACTCTATCTCCATGCCCATCTGTCAAGGCATCATATGGATGGATATGACTACTGACATTTGGAATGACCTCAAGACTAGATATTCCTAGGGAGATCTCATGTGTATATCAAATCTTCAAATGGAAGTTGCTTCATTAAACTAAGGTGAACTTTCTATTATTGAGTACTTCACTAAACGCATAATCATATGAGATGAATTTAAAAACTTTTGACCCGATCCTATGTGTGTCTGTTAAGAAAAATGTTCTAGTTTTGTGTAATCCACCATTATTCAAAAGAAAACATGAAGATCAGGCCATGCAATCCTTGTGTGGGCTAAATGATCAATACAACAACATCAAATCCCACGTGCTTCTTATGGATCTTGTGCCTCCAATCACAAAGTTTGTTTTTTTGTTCCTTAACAAGAAAGATGACTTCCTAGTAGTGTTATTATTGCTAGTACTAAAAACGTGATTATGAATGTCAACACCAACCAGAGCATATTCTTCTCTCATTTGTTCTCATTAGAGTCGTAATGGTCACACAGAAAATGTTTGTTACCGCAAGCACAATTTTCCCTCCAACCAAGACAACAACCATTCCAAAGGTACCTATAATAAGAAAATTTGCATTCACTGTGGTAAAACACATTGAGGTTTGTTACCATAAGCATGACTACCCCTTATCATAAATTCTATAATGAAAAAACTTTTCAGGCCAACAACATAACTATTGAAGAAGGATTTGTTCTTAATAAAGATCAAAATTATTGAAAGTCCCACATCGCCTACCTCGTGTCATTTGGTATGGTTTAAATACATGTTAGGCTAATTCACATATTGTCAATTGGTTTTATGTTGGAACCTTAACATGGTATCAGAGCCAAAGCCTACATCTTTCCAGTTATTGTCATGGGCCAAAAGTTGCCCTTTAGTTGGGTCAAAAGTACCCTTTGTCTGGTCCGGCAGGTTTCGTTGGAGGGGGCATGTTGAAAGTCCTACATCGCCTACCTCGTGTCATTTTGTATGGTTTAAATACATGTTAGGCTATTCCACATATTGCCAATTGGTTTTATGTTGGAACCTTAACAAAAATAATCCAGAAACTTTTGATATTTGTATTTCTCCTCAACATTAAGTCCTCAAGAACCTCTTACAACAAACCACTGATAGTGGAACTATCAATCAAGCACAGGTGAATCAAGTGGGTTCTATTTCCACACATTCTTTTCAACATCTCTCGCCTACATGTAACACTGATACTATTAGTCAAACTAAGTGTTGTACTTCTTCCTATATCATTGACTCTGTATAGGCTCTCTTTTTCATCTTTTCTCCTTTTTTGTCTTGATTCTCAAGACATTCCATTATCACATATCCCTATTTACCACACCCATAGCATTTGTAATTAATTGAAAGAATTTAAGTCAGATGTTTTTGTGTACCATTTCTGACCAGATTTGTCTTTAATCTTCTTTTTAAGAAATCTGTTGAATTTTTTGACCAGCAAACTAAGATTCTTACTTTCTTCTTCTGTTTCTTCTCCTTTATCTTCCACTTTGAATGTTATGCTTTTTCTTTTCTTTTTTGAACCTTCCTGCTCATTAAATCTTTTTATCTCCATTTGATGCTCTTTAAGTTTACCGAATAAAGAGGTTGTGGTCATGATATAGATCCTTTGATTCTGAGATTGATGTAACCTTGGGCTGCCATGACCTGTCAAAACATTTTAACACTTTGATATTTAATTCTTCTTTATCAAATATCTTACCAAGATCCATTAAGTGATTGATGATGTGAGTAAAACGCTTTTGCACATCTGCAATGCTTTCTCCAGATTGCATCTTGAACAACTCATATTCTCTAATAAGGGTGTCCTTTCTATCTCTCTTTACATAAGTTGTTCCTTCATGAGTTATCTTAAGAACTTTCCACATTTCTTTGACAGATTTACACTGAGATACCTTGAAAAATTCATCTATATTAAGAGCATATGTTATGATATTTTTTGCAATACAGTCATACTGAGTTTTTTTCTTTTCATCATCATTTAATGCAGATCATTCTTTATCAGTAATTAATGAACCTAATTCAATAACATTCCAAATGTTCCTATCAATGGATTCAATAAAGATCTTCATTCTGATCTTCCAAAAGTGATAATTTGTACCACAAAACAGTGGAGGTCTATTGATAGAAACTCCCTCAGAAAAAAGGTAATTTGGTTTTTAGCCATTTTAAAAAAATTCTAGGACCGAAAATCTTGAATATCTTTCAAGAACATGGTCTTTATACCAATTGTTAGAATTATAGACTGAGATAAAGATGGGGTGAATTGATCTTTACAAACTTTTTTTCAACTTGCATATACATATTAACAATTTCAAAGATTAAGAAATTTGATTAAGTATTGAACCAAGAAAACCAAATTGAATTGGATAAAGTTCAAGCAAAATTAACGAAAGTGATGGAAGAGGAAAAGAAATACCTAGAATTATACTTGCTCACTCAAACCACTGGGTTACATCCAGTTTTCAACCAAATTTCAGTTGAGTTTCACTAGATTGAATAGTTTTATTTACAGAATTAAATTACAGAAAATCCAACTTGCACCAAGAACCAAATTCTAGTTTTTGAACTCAAACTACAACCAAATTTCAGTTACAGAACCAAACTCGCACCAAGAATTAAATTTTAGTTCTTGAACCTGCACCAAGAACCAAAGTCCAATTCTTGAATCCAACCTGCAACCAAATTCCAGTTACAGAATCAAACCTACACTAAGAACAAAATTCCAGTTCTTGAACATGCACCAATAACCAATTTTTAGTTCTTGAATCCAACTTGCAACCAAATTTCAGTTGCAGAACCAGTGCCCAATCTTTTAGACACCAAGACAATATAAAATTGAAATAAAAATGAAAGAATGAATAAACTAGAACAATCAAACCCGATTATGTAAATGCAGAAATCCCACTGCATAATGAGTTTCTTCACAAGCAAGAATACAAAAATGCCTCAAGAAAGAACTTTGAAAATTTTCACTGAAAATAGCGTGCGTCTCTCTTGAAAAGATCTCTATTGATTGCATGAATGATTTTCTAAAAGATTTGTGTTTGAAACGTTGAAGCAAATATGTTTATATAGAAATTTCTATAACAAACTGGTTTAATTAATCGGTTAACTCGTCTTTTAATCGATTAAAAAATCTTGTTTCTAAAAATGTTCTATAACACTTTCCAAAAATATTTTAACCGATAAAAACACGATTTAATCGATTAAAACAGTTATACAAAAATCCTAAATGATTTTAATTTATTAATTTGTATTTTAATCATTATTGATAGAACATATTTACACTTATTTTAAGTAATTTTAATCGATTAATTCGAATATGTATCGATTAAAACGTGATGGAACATGTTTACACTTATTTTAAGTGGTTTGAATCGATTATTTCGAAAATACATAAGGTAAAAATGTGTCAGAAGTGTTTTAGATGATTTTAATCTATTAATCTGTAAATATATCAGTTAAATCTAAGACTTAAGAACATATTAACCGATTAAAAGGATTTTTAACGGATTAAAAAGTTTAGAGGCATTTTTACTCTTTTCAAATGATAGAACCTCATTCTATAGAAACGGATAGATGATTATACCTACTTTATATTGATGCAGACCCATTAAACACTACATCCCTTATTTCATAAATCCTCTGACTTCATCAAATCTTCCCTTATTCCATAAATTTTTTGACTTCATCAAATCTTCAATATCTTCAATCATCATTATCATTATCTTGACCCAACCTAACTTGACTTAGATATGATTAATCCAATTTGGATAAGTTTGGTTTAGTCCAATCAAGCTTAATATGACCAGTTTTAACTTGAACTAATCTAACTCGATTGATTTTGATTTGATATGATCAATATCCACCCATCTTAAATGACCTAGTTTGAATAAACTCACCTTGTCATAACTTAATCTATCTTAACTTGACTTGATCTATGTAAGCTTAGGTTAGCTTGATCAAGTTAGTTTAACCCAACATATCTTAATCAGACTTGACTCATCTTGATTAGGTATGATTCATCTCCACTTGGCTTGGCTTAATCAAACCTTATTATTTTTGAAATAATAGGTCTCGATTTTACTTATCTCATTCTGTCTCGACTTAGCTTGTCATACTTCAACCTATTGAACTTATATTGTACATCTTTATCCATGTAATTTTAAGATCATGCTACACCTTTTTAAGAGAACATATTATATTTGAAATACTTTTACATGTACTTTCTATCTTTTAAAACAAATGGACGATTTTAAAATGAAACTATTATATTATAACGATGAAAATGATAAATAAATGATTAAAAAGAATTGATCTATTTAAAAATTATGTCCACTATATATTGTTTACAAAAAAAAAATATATATATATATATATATATATATATATATATATATATATATATATATATATATATATATATATATATACCATCACTTTATATTAAAGTATTATATAAGTGACTATTATGGGGAGGGATTAGCTAACAATAGCGGTTAATTTTGACTCTTTCGGTTATATTTGCTAACTTTTCTTTTAGCTAAAAGCTATCTTAAAATTAAAAGTAACAGATTTAAAATTAAAGTAGAAATCATTTGGTAATTTTTAATTTAATTAATTTTTTAAATAAATATATATTTGGAGGATAATTAAATTTAAATAATATATGATAAATACTTATATTTAATATGATTAAAATATTTTATTTAATTTTTATTTATTATAAATTACTCTATTAAATTTTTAATTATTATCGTTAGAGGAATTATTAATGTTACATTAAGTAAATTATTGAGTGATGCGTAGGCCTTTGCGAATGAATTCAAGTACCATGCAATACTATTTGTGAAAATAATTAATTGAGAAAAAATTCCATAAACCTGACAACTCTACACATTTATAATTTAATCATAATCTTTTATATAATTAAAATAATACATCGATTAATAACCTATATGACATAAAAATAATAAAGAATTAATATGATATAAAATAAAAACAAGATATTTTAATTATATTAAATACAAATATATAATATAATTATTATATAAAAAATATATTTCACCTAAAATTATTTAACAAATTTCTTCTTAATAAAATAAAATAAAAAAAAACCTAACTTTTAATTTATAATGTGTTCCGATTAAAAATTAGGAGTGTTGATCGTTAGAATCAATTTTCACAATTTAAAAATTATTCGTTTTAAAGTTTTTATCGATTATGATTTTATTTTTAGAAAAAGCTTTGACGAGTTAAGAAAGGAAAATATATATAAACCATGTACCTCGGGAAATATCGTGTTACAGTTAAACTTTCATATATTACAAACATTAAAAAACTAATAAAAATGATTATATTATGAATCTTTACAAATAACAATTATAAAATTAATGAATTTAATATACATAGTAATATATTATTATATATTTGTGTTAAAAAATTACTTTATCAATCTGTTTTACTTAAAAAAAACATTATATTATATTAACATCTTTTAATAACTTTCTAAATAATTTATTGAAAAACTAGTTAACGTAGAACTTTGTGTTTTTGGCGTGATAACTTAAAAGGTTATTATTTTGTATACACCATTATGTATAAAAAAGGAGAGAGATAATATTGGAAAAATAGTAAAAAGAGGAGAAAAAAATTATGATACCAACAATGAGTGGATTAGAATTTTCCATAACATCTCCAAATAATTCTCTTCTCAGCTGATTCTCTTTAGACATTATTTACTATGATTCAAGTTAATTAGAAGCTACAAAATCATGGAGAAGATTTGAACTTGTAAATTTACCAATAATAGAGAGTACAATAAACCAAAGGCCAAACATTTCTCTTTTCTACGAAAATCATCCCATCTTACTATAAACAAATGTGTCAAATGATGAAAAGAGATGAGAATCTGAAACATAAAACAGCTTCCTCAAGGATTCATATTGCAGAACAGTTTCACCAACTAGGCAAATACCATTGCATAATACATACTCTGATGAACACCAAGTACACTTTCATAAACTATTTGATCGACTTTCCATAAGAGACAGAGAACTTCTACTTACTCCAAAATAACATCCAAACATGGGTACTAGGTGAAGGGAAAACCAAAGCATGACCATCTAGCACTCAGTGATGTTTCCAAGGTAAGTAGCCAGAACAAACCACCCAAATACAAGTAGAGCCACAATCAGTAGCCCAAGTAAGAAGGGCCATCCAACCATGAGGACTCCTGAGCAAGCAACCGCAACAAAAGGCAGGAAAGACCTTACAATTCCCCAGAAACCAACACAGTGCCCCTTGTATAGAATGAGAGCTGCTACAGTCACCATGTTCCAGTCCATTGATCTACCATAGCACATCCTATTCAGGCAGTTAGCAACGAAGGAGTGGCAGTTACAAGTGAAAATGTTGTGAGTTTTGGTCTCATATTCACGCATACTAGATTGTAATGCTTGATCCCACGTGAGTGCAGTACCCAAATCAACATGTCGATAATGATCCTTGCATTTGTGTGCAGATAGGTTAGGGGGGAAGCAACACTGCAACAACATTTTAGGTTACACAGAAAATGTCAAATGAGAGTTTATACTTCTAAACAATTATAGAATTGACAACAACCAAAATTTTAAAGGGTAGAGTGGGTGGGATAGCTTAGCAAATGGATTGTTCTGTGGATTAATTTGTCAATACATCTATCACTGAATTGATTTTCCAAAATCAGGGTTGAGTGACAATAATCTGAACTTGTTGGGAGTAACAAATCCATAACTGTTCAAATTTAGCATGCATACCCCATTATCCAGTAGCTGAAATTGAAAACAACTAGCACCATAAAGATTTAGAATGAGGAATCAGACACCAATGGTTATTATTTTTTAAGTAAACATATATCAAGGTAAAACCTCTCAAATGGAAGGTGATTTGTAGGTTTTGACTTTAGAGAACTCTCTAGCTGCAAATGCTACCCATTTCTAAAAATGACATAATTGTCAATATCAAATACATCAATGTTTAACAGTTTCGCACATAGCTATATTGGTTATAAAAGGTCATTAGTCTCCCAAAAATCCCATAACAAACGAAAAATAGTTAATTGAATTTGGCATAATACTGCACTGCAAAACATGCATGCATTTATGAATGAAAATGAAATGAACAGAGTGAGCAACAAGAGAAATAGATACTGTATTTAAGCAATAGTACCTGTTCTGGGTCAAGTTGGACGTATCTTGCCACTGGACCAAACCTAAAATTATCAACATTCAGTTCATGTGATCCTGAAAAGTCTATAACAGCTCCATCCTCCCTACAAATGCCAACATGACCAAAGAAGGGAGCCAGCCATGAGACCACAGGAAATGGAGTCCAAACCAAACACCATGGAAACTTGGCCTTTGTTGGATCAATTTGATTTTGAGGCAATGGCTGAAGCTTTGCTCTTTCTGCAATTGGTGAAAGCTCAATGTCATAACTTGTATTTAACTCCATAGTAAAAGTCTATAGCACAGCAAACTACTCCTCTGCACATCCCAGTTCTGCACAGTGAAAAAGTTTTATTAACTTAATCCTGCAATGACAAAATTTATGACACAAATACCTAAATTAGAACTGGGTGTATGACTAACTAATCACAGATATGTTTTAGGACCTGTAGCATATAACATAATGCAACATCATATATAAAAGATCAGCACAGAGCACAAACACCAACCAAATCTACCCTTGCACAGTATAAATGTTTAATGCTATTATCAAATGTCATATTGAAAATAAGAAATTCCGAGTGAGAATTTTGAAACAGTAAAAATTTGATGACCCCAAGACAATCAGAAGAGTCAGAAGTATCCATGAGGACAAAGATAGAATCATTTTGGCTACTGATCTGTAACTTTGTCCCATCAACTACAATTGGACTCCCTAGGACTGTCACATAGTTCTTCCTTACCGCACTCTTCATTTCACCTCATAGTTCAACCACTGCGATTGATCCAGTTTCAACACTTCAACAATCTCTATCTATGTTCCCAACCTTTTTATATACTTATTACAGTCTCCAATGAGATATAATTGCAACATTATGATGCTACAGCATTGTAAATTGCTTTTAGATAAATCAAATTTGCAAGAAACAAATTTGGAGAGAGAGAAACATGTTTGTAAATAGCTCACATGGATCAAATCCTAGAGAGTGCTGCAACCTTCTTATAATGGACCAACAACCAATAATAATATAAGAAGACAATGAGCATTAATAATGAAAAAAAATACTACAATATTTTTAAAATAGTGTTTCTTAAACAGCACAGATTAAACTATTACAGTAACAAAAGCCAACATATGTCTAAATGAGATGAAATGTTTATATATATCATCATTCACCAATCAATAAGAATTTGTATTAATTTTACTAAATGCTGAAAAGTATCTATTCTTTCATGGACACCACATGAATTTTTCATTGCACAATTTAGTTCATTCCCAGAGTTTTGATAGAATGGATGCCCCTCTCCTAACAAATGCAGAACATAAAACATCAACATTGACAAAGATCAAACTACAGAAACAGAAAGTCAATAATAACACCAACAACAGAGAATACTATAGATAAAGACATATAATTAATCATCACACATTACTTTGTCAAAATAATCTTTCCTATGAAAACAATCAACTTTAGCCTCTCAAAAATTAACTTTCAAAAAAAAAAAAATTGAAAAAAAAATAAAGAAAAAAAACTTACTTTTCCCTGTGGGGACAGTTCTCTACTCTCCCCATTATATAGGCATGAATCCCCACATTGGAGATATCGAAAAACACTTACAACAGTTCATAGCATAACATGTCAGAAAATCCAAAGACATATTATTGTCTCTGATCAGAACAGATGCGGTCTCAGACCTTACAGAAGAGAAAATCACAACTCGAAGGAGAATCAAGAGGGAGTGTAAGGAAATCGAGGAAGGAAAGCTGAAGAGAGTTATTGCACTGGCATGCGATTTATGTTGAAGATGAAACCGCTTTGAAAAAAATTAAAAAATCACCACACTTGGTCACAAAGTCCACAGGCTATTATTCTCTCTTTAGAAAAACAAAATTTTATTTCAATTTAATTATTATTTGTTTCATTTGGGAAATTGTCTCTGTGTTTTTTTTTTTAAAACCAAAGCCAGAGACAGGAAATGAGAAAGATGCATGAACCTTCAATTTTCATTTTTTATCCTTCATGGTGGGTCCCTATCATGTCCATCGAGTTCTTACGCTTTTTATTTTTTATTTTTTTATCCTAAGTTATTATAATAAATGTGAGTTCTTATTAATAATAATTATATATATGCTGATCTGATTTTAGCTTTTCAAGATTATTAATTTTGAAGTTAGGCAAGTTATAAATTTTCTTAAACTATCTTTCTTTTCCCTATTACATGATTTTTAATTCAACAATAATTAACAAAAGTTGTAGGTGACACTCTCAAAAGAGGGAACAACAAATAAAGAGAGCAGGGGAAAATCATTATGAAGTTTGCACACTAAAATTTTTGAATTGTAATTCAAGATTTGTTCAGAGGTAGATGAGACTTTATAGATATTTAATTTATATATATAGATAAACACTTCTAACATTATAAAAATAAGAAAAGTAATTATTTTATATGAATTAAAAAGTAACTTATATAAAAATAAATTTGTTGAAATATTCTAAGATCCAAATTTTTTTAAATCAGATTCTTTATAATATATATATTGATAGAGATTTTTTTTCAGTCTAGTATCATTATAATACGTTTTTTAAAAGAGTTTATTATTATTAATTTTTAAAATATTTGTCATACAATTGACAACTTTATGATTAAAATTGATATATTTATTTTTTATTTTATTGGTGATGTACCGAAAACTTTTTCTAGTTATAACTGATTTAATATAATAAATTATATATATTTCTTTAATATCTAAATAGCAAATATTTAATTGTGAAACAGCATTCGGTTCCTAATACTATAATGAAATATCATAAACACCTGTCCTGTATAAATATTTTTAAAAATGTTAAAATTTATAAGAATTAAAGTAAAATGAATTTTTATTTATGAAGCTAAAAATATATTTAATTTTTATTAAACATAAATATATAATTTTATAGATATTATTATTATTTAATTTACATCAATATTTATCTCTATTGTTATGATTTAAGATTATAATAATAGTTATTAAAATAAACTATTAATTTAACTGGAGATAATACCTACGTTTATTTTTATTATTGTTTTAACCTTTTAATTTCTAGTAAAAAAAATACTTTTCATTTAGATTACGTGTTATCTTGTCATGCACAATGTTAAATGGTGGCTATCTCTTGTTCTGACACGTGGAACTGTGGTAGGTGTGAATATATATATATATATATATATATATATATATATATATATATATATATATATATATATATATATATATATATAAAGCAACATATATTTTTTTTATAACGGTTTCAAAATTTTGTTAAAGAATAACTATATAATAGAACTTACATTTTTCTGTAAGTTTATCCAATGATAACCATTATTTAAATCATTGAAAATAACGTAAAAATGTAAGTGTATTTTTTATAATTATTTTTTTAAAATATTTAAAAATACATATATTTTTTTTCTTATATTTTTAATTTTTTTAAATATATAAATTATAATAATTATTTATAAAAAATTTCTTTTTCTTTTTTAGATACTAAAAAAGTTACAAAAGAATATTTTTTATATAGTTATAAATATATTTTGTATTTTTTAAATATATAAATTATGATAATTGTTTTTTAAAATTATAAAACTTTTATTTCTTTTTCAATGAAAAAAAATGATTATATGATAAATATATTTTATATATAACTATATACTTAAATAAGTTTTATTTAATAATTTTTCATAAAATAATAAAATTAATGTTAAGAAGTATCAATGAAGATCTTTTTTCTCTTAAATATTTAAATTACATTTTTTAATTATGTACATATTTCAATTATTTAATTATGTTTTGTATTAATTAAGATTTATAATTATTTAATTGAAAGAAAAATAAAATTAATGTGATTTGGTGAGATGTGAATACAAATTGGTGTAGAATGAAAAAGAGGCTAGTATTCTTCACCTTTATATGTTCATATGATGTTGCAGTTGGTTGAACCTCAACTTTCAATGATCCTTTTTTGATCTCAACATAGTACACAACAAAGTTGATCAAAATGTCATGTCTTGAATTTTTATAGTATTATTTTTATTAATGTTATAAATTTTATTATTTAAACATATGATAAAGATCTTATGTAAGGAATGAACTTTTGTAAAAGATTTGTTCATACTTTTGTCTAGACGCATCATGAATATTCAATTAGAAAATAAAATAAGATATTAGTTTATATAGTTGATTTTTGTGAATAGTTTATAATTTTATTTATTTAATAATTAAATCATTAATTACTCCATGACACAATTATATCAGTGGTAGAAACAATTAACATGTTAATAATATTATTAATTTCTTGTTTTTTATTTCATCACTTTTAACTTTGATTTTGAAAAAAGAAGGCAACTTTATCACTAACAAAGTATGTGTTATCTTTAAATATCATCCTCTCAAATGATAAAAAGATAATGCATATAAGGATGAAATCAAAAGAGAAAGATAGAATATGTTAAATATTATGTGAACTTTGTAGGTGTTAGTATGTGTATTCATCCATATATTTTTATTTTTTTTTACAAACCATTTGATAGAAATTATTTCATAGAATCAATATTTGAGGCTTATTTATCCAACAATTAGACTCACTATACCAAATTTCATTGGGTCTATTGTGTAATAAGATAATATGATATGATTGATAAATAATTGTTTTGTCTGAAGGTATATTTAGAAATTCAATTTATAACAGTTTGTATGATACATTGGTTAAAAGGAGTTTGTCTCAAATGAATTTTAGTATCTTAATAAACTAATCTTTAATCCCACTTATTCCTAATACATCTACAAAGCTTTATTTATATAATTTAATACATGATTTACTCTGTCAAATATTTTAATTGAGAGGGAACAGAAAAAGATTATTCAACATTAGTTGAATATAGAGACATGAAGAACTGACAAATGTGAGAAATGCACTGAGAATTGACAGATGTAATGGAACAGAGAAATTAGGAAACATGAGATGCAGAAGAAAACATAAGGGAAACATGAGAATTTTGAATATATGTAGTTATTTTAAAAAATATAGTCAATGTTTTTTTCTCTTATGTTGATTATTATTAGTATGGGGAGACAGATATATGCTCATGTTCTACCTTTCTTGGGCAACATTGGAGGGACTGAATGGCTGCCAATACCTACAAGAGTGGACTGCTTGAGGAAACTGATTTTTTTTCCTGATACCCTTTCCTTTCTTACTCCAATTTATTTTTCAAATTTTCAATTTAATTCATGTTTTTCTTTGATGCATGTACTAATTTGAAGGAACATGCAACATGTGGTTAGGGTTTTCTCTATTGTTAATTTCTTTCTCTAATAATTGAAAGTTGTTGCAAGTTAAACTTACCAGTCACAATTAATCAATTCAAGTGATACATATATCTAGAATTCAAGCATTAGGCATGGACAACAACATTTTTCTAGAATAACTTCAATAAAAATTATGTCTTTTGAAAAATACTTCTGATAAAAAAAAGTTGAGATTGTCATGAAAGACAATTTGGTAATGTTAACATCATCATTTTTAGGTTGTTCCTCTGTTTCCACCACCACCTAACAGTGTAAATTCCATTGATCAAAAAAGGAAAAGAGAATACATAAAAATGATTACACAAGAATCTAAATATACACATATATGTTCATCTATTTCCAGATTTTCAGTATACATATGGTGTGTAAAAGACAATGTATGGTATGATATGTGCATTTAACAGACTTTGATACTAAATATAAGGAACACTTATTCCTGCTAGATATGTACAATTCATGGAGGGTCCATTGTTGATGATTCAGTGCATGGTTGGATAATTTTCTCATAAATACTTATATAAAAAATAAGTAAAAATAATAAAATAAGGTTTTATTTTTCTAGAAAGTAAATTAATTTATGCATAAATATAAAATCTGTTTTTAAAGAAGTTAATTTGAATATTTTTTACTGCATAAATTAATTTTAACCTATTAAAAAAGACCTTATGTCATTTTTACATATTATCTTTTTAATAAGTTTCTATGAAAGCAATTATGCAACCATATTCTTACTATATATGGTAATGTATTATTGAAGTTCAGGTTCATCACGAAAAGCATCTGGTTCAAACAATCTTGCAGAATCATCATTGTAAACTCCAGGTACAACTCGAACTCTAGGTTCCTTTGATGTCAGAATTTGGTCCCCATCAATGTTGAGGAGGATAAGAGCACATACAAGTAAAGAGGTTGCCAGACTCACAAGGGTAATTTTCAATCTGCTCAGTACAGGCTTGACCTTAAACAAAAAACAAAAAGAAATCTTGGTTAAGTTAGTTAATTTATTTGAAGATTAATTGAGTTCCAATGAAAGTTAAATGTTTCTATTTGTGAAAGGCACAAAAGTTAAGATAGATGCATGTTGTCTTCCTATTTTATAAAGTGACTTATACACGGGAAGTAAGAGGAGTGACAGGGTTCACACAAATTAAGCCCAAGTCATAAAAAACATATCTTTCTGCAGATTGGATAATATTACATAAATACTTGTACAAGAAAATAATTAAAACGAAATAATAATTTTATCCCTAGGATAAAAATTAGTCATGTAAAACTTAAAAAATTATTTTTCAGATAAGTTAATGAGATAACTTCTAGAGATTATTCCTTAGAACTGGTGTGGAAAAAAATATCTCAACATACCTTGCATCGACAATTCATGAAAAAAACTTGTCTAAACGTATCCTTGCATAAACAATTCATCAATCTTGATGACACAATCGCTATGTGACATGGCTGTTTAAGTTAGTAATTCTTACCTCCACTACGGAAAAAAACTCAAATCCTAAAAGCAATAGTTGTAGGTCCAAAAGAAAAGCAACAATATATAATACTATGATTTGGTTCACAGGAGTCTCTAGCAATAACACTGAAGCTGTGTAAACGTGGCAGTAGTTTAACAGAATGCTTACAGAAAATGATCCCAGAAGTCTATCGCGGGCCAAAACTTCAGCAGTCTTCACCCATATCTGTTGAGAATACAATATTTGTTCACACCACCCAAAACAAAATAAACACAATCCATGCAAAGGCATTTGTAACCAACTCACATGGCAAGGGCATCAGTCCCATGGTCAAGGTCTTACAGTGAGCAAATACAGTTTTAGCATAAAGTATAAAGGAAAATGAAGCAGGTTAGAAGAAAGATCATATAATTTATAAAATAATTTAATATAAATATTTTAATGTGATGATTATTAGATTATAAATGTATTAAAGTAAATGAAATTATTTTAAAAATATTAAAATTAATTTTCTTTATTCTCACTTCATTGAAGAATTTATAGTTCTTTTAATAATATTTTTTTAATTTAACTTTTAAGGGGTACGTATTATAAGAAATAGAAACTGTTCTCTCTAACGTTACATTCTTCAGGCTTAACAAAACAAAATATATAATAGATATTATATATCATCAAGAAAGTCATTAAATAAAGAAAAATATATATATAAAAAAAAGGAAAATATCAATAACTGTCAATATTTCAGATAAATTCTTATGTACTTATGAGGATAATAAGTTAAAAGACGTGAAAAAGGATATAGAAAGAAATCAAGATTGTGAAGTAGGTGTAAACATAGTGCAAATAAAAATGTAGTGAGTTTAAGTTTTGGATCTAATACTTCAATTTGTCAAATACATTAAGTTTTGTATCGCTACAATGTATTTCTCACATTTGTCATATAGGCAAATAATACAAATTACTCTGCACCAAGATTCTGCATGACTGAGGTGAAGCATTAAGAGAAAAAAAAAAGAAAAAAAAAAGTGAAGAACTAAAAGGAACATACCTGGCCATCATACCACCCTGTTTCCTCATCTGCAATGTCAAGAGAAGAATTGTTATCCATCCCATTCCCAAAGTTTTCAACACAGTTGTTGAATCTTAAAAGAAAAAACCATAAAGAAAAAGGAAAATAAAAAGTAACTTGACTTGCAAATTATTTCCTAATTTTATAAAATTCAAAATTTCTTATAATTCTTATGCACCACGTTCGTTAATTAAAAATTTTGAATACATAAAAAAAAAGTGTAATGTGGGAATTATTAAATTAAAAATAAATTTCACACCATTTTGTATGTTCCAATAAATTTCAGTAAGAGAACGAGTTAATTATGTTACCTAAAATATAGTGTAACAAATATTGTCTCAGGAATGAAGAATTGTGAGTTTAAATTTCAGTAATTATAAACATTTTTATATTATAAACTAATAAAAGTTATTATATGTAACCATATGGGAACTTTTTGTTAATTACGTTGAGATCCAACAATTCAATTCAAGATAGACTAAAAGGCTTCAATATATGGTACACCAATGGTGACCATATCTAGATAATATTTATAGAAATACGAAGCTTAACAAATCTTGAAATTGATAGGATAATGAGAATATCTTGACACTCAAGTCCCACAAGATTTACTACTAAAAAGCATTAGAATCAATCGAGTTTGAGTATATACAATATATACTTTAACTCTCACGTATTTCTATTCATAAAATTCGTGGTAACAATGTAAAGGCAACTGTACACTCGTAGTATCAAATTTATTGTTATTTTAACACAATCATTAAAATTATGTTTATTATAATTTTTTATTAGTTGTAATGTAATTTGGGTTCCCAATAATTACCAATAGAACTAGCTAAAATATATGTCCAACTTTTTTACTCTTTTATATATTTCTCTGTGGATAATACCGAAAAGATTTTAGAATAACTCTCTAGCATTTAGTTTAATATTTACAAACGTATAGGTTAAGTAGATTTTCTATTTTAAGTTTATATATTTTACCATCTCATATAAATATAAGAATTATAAAAAGTCACTCAATCACTTGTGAAAAAAAAAAAAGTTTTTTCATTTGGTACCCGGTAAACAATGTTGCTTATTTAAAAAAAGTAACTTACGTAGGAAATATACTTCACAGTATATACTTTAATGAAAAAGAACTCGTTAAACAACAGTATTTAGCCTAAGACTAGACAATTTATGTAAATACATTCATTACATATGCTTCAACATAGTGGTAGTCCTCGGCACCATCCAAAGTGGCCTACCGTCCAGGCCCCAAATTTGATGAGTTTTTAATACCTATTGGTTTGATTTTTTAACTATTGTAAATGAAATTAGGAAAAGTTGGCAAATGATATAGGTAGAACTTGTAAGAGGTAAGGTGTTAAGTAATAAAAGTTCACGTAATTGTACTTTTATTTTTATTATTTAACCACTTAAATTATATATTGATTCTATCAATCAAGGATAAACAAACTTAAATTATATATTGATTCTATCAATCAAGGATAAATTTGTAGAATACCTTGGTACACTAATGATCATAATTCTCAATAAAAAATTGAATAAAGGATAAGATTTTCAACCGCGAGACGGTAACTTATGATAGTTAGATATGGTAAGAATTAACAAACCCTCTATAAATATTTGTTTTATGTATTGCATATGATTGTAACATTTATATTTCAGTTTCAGTTCTTAAACAAATTCCTGAACGTTATAACGTTATAGTTGATCAATAAACAATCATATCTCAACATTTTCTGGTTTTTATCCATGCAGATATATATTTAATAATCAGCTAAATAAGTTACAAAACTCTCGGGCCATGGCCCCTCACCTCTCACTGTCATATAGGTTTGTGATCCGGATGACCTTGTTTTAGAATTAAACTCTAATAATTACAAAACATATATATCCTTGATTGGTTTATAGCGTTGAGAGATTTAAGAGTAGAGTGAGGTTGAAGGAAAGATACATACATTCAACGGTGGCGCTGAGCAATCGATTCCCGACGTAAGCCCAGCCCAGATACATCCTAACCACAGCCACGGTCACCGCGAAGACCCCACTGGAGGCGGCGCACAGGACCCGCTTGAAGGGCTCGGCCTGGGCCCCGGCGGACCCGAACCAGGCCACGGGGAGGCCCACGAGCAACGTGAAGGAGGCGCCGGTAACGAACAGGCGCGAGGCGTATTCGACGGCGTCACCGGTGGCCCAGGAGAAGGGGAAGGAGGTGGAGAGGGAGTGGTACTCGTTGATGGGCTGCTGCTCGAGTGGAACGGGACATTCTGTTTCGGGACGGTTGTTGTTGCTGGTGGAAGAGAAGGATAAGATAGAAGGGGTTCTGATTGTGGTGGGAATGTGAAATAGTGGGATTGGGGAAAGTGTGGTTCTCGTTCTTCTTGATGGAAGAGAGGGTGAAGGTAATGGTGATATGCGTGTGGGTGTTGCTGCCATTAGCCTTCGCGCTGCTTCCATAGTCTGTTTGCAGCACTACGTTTTATATCCATTATCCACACCCCATTTTAATTTAATTCAGAAGGGCAGATTGTTTAAATTATTTCGAAATTTGGTCTTGTTCTTTTTATTTAATATATTTTTATTCTTCTTCTTTTAATTTCTCATTGACAAATAGTTTAAAGTTTTACTCATACATTTCTTTTACGCTAAAAATAAAAATTCATTTTACAAATATGACAATATTTCTTCATTTTTTATTTAAAAACAATTTTTCAACAACATAAATTCCACCAACAATCTCTCCCTGACTGAAACAGAAAGAAATAGAAACTTGAAGTCCTAATCTTTCCGTATCAACTCTACCATCCAAATTCATCACTTTTCAACTTGTCTCCATTTATTCATTTGCTTGATCCCGTGCCAAAAACATCTGCAGGAACATCATCTTCTAGCAAACGTGCAAACGTGTTGGAATACTACTCAGAGGAGTTGGAATACGCCTATAAACCCAATAAAAAAAATCTCCCTTATGCACTACTACTATATAACATTAACCAAATAACACAGTAACGACTATTTTGAAAAACAAAATGTCAAAACATTACTAAATATTCCCATTAAAATTTTGGCAATTTGGATGTCGCAGAGTCGGTGGCAAATATCCAATTTGCCTAAGACATAACTATCATAACAGATAAGATAAGAGGTATACTTGCTCAAGAAAAACTCAAGCTGAGTAATGGGAAATACATAATTTTTTATCTTTTTTTTCTGTTTTTTTTTTTTCATCTTTTTACATTTGCATGGGAACCTGAGAGATCGCATGTTTACAATTCCAAATAAGACCTCTACAGACAAAGAATAATTTTGTACTTCTTTTCCTTTTTGTTTCTTGCTTTTCTTCCCTCTGGGAATTCTTCATTTGTACCTACTCCAACTAAACCTCCACTGCACTTATGCAGATATTGGGGAGGGACCCTGCTCTTTTCTGAATGGGTTGTGTCCAGTCCCAACTTTCCATGTACCTGACACTTCCCAGGACGAAAAAAAAAAAAACTTTAGCTGTTCTGGTTCTTTGAACCAACAAACAACTTTAAGTATTATTACATCAGCTACGTTATAGACAACTTCGTTTAACGTGTTGAACTCGTTTTTGGGACAACCATATGTTGAAGACGGTAAAGACGAGACATCAACTGTGAGAATGATGGCCGCAAGTGTGGTTCCCTGCATTAAAACCAACCCAACTAAAATCAAACAAATAGAATAAACCAGTGGTACCAACGTAACTTCAAATCAGATATTTTTTTTTCCTTTTGTTATGTTTTTTCTAAGGTGAGGAGAGAGGGAGATTGATCCTTGTCCTTACAATTTTCTATTTTTATAAACATCAATCCATATGTTTTGTCATTTAAGTTATCTTTGTATTTTAACCTTGTTTTTACTTATTTCGGTTTTAATGAATCATGATTGTTTTTCAATGGAGATATATGGTCCCTATTAGTGTATAAAATCAACTTATTCTCGTTTTGGTCACGGGAACCGATATCTAAGGTGAAAATATGGAACCAAATTTTTTTTAAACCATCAATATATAACTAAAATCTAAGGATTACTGAAGCATATTATATATCATTATATTACTATCAAATCATAATTGTAAAAGAACAGGAACTTTAGCAAAACTTTGATAATCATGCAGGTGGCAATCTGCCCATAATTTTCCAGACATCAAATCAGAGTATCGGACTATGGATGCTATAGTCAGCTTTCCAAGAACTGTGAATCTCATGGTCCACATTGTGATGTCATAAAGAGACGGCAAACATTGTCACTACACACACTTCATTGGACATTCATAGTGCTAGATGCTGAAGTAACAATCAGAAAACGTAAGTAGAGAAATAGAACTTACGTTTGCCAGCAATCACGTATGATCTGTGCTACTACTGGGTTGACATCTTCTGGAATTTCAAGTCGTTTGTTCTGGAATCCAACAGCTCCAACAACCTGCATTGGGTTCAAACCTTTCCAGGGAATTCTTGCAGTAATCAACTCCCACAAGATCACACCAAAACTATACACATCACACCTGCACGCAAACTTTAACTATCACTTTGCAAACTTCGACATCATATTTGAATGGAGCAATCACATGCTGATTTAACTTACTTCTCATTTGCTGGCTCATTTCTTAAGACTTCCGGTGCCATCCACTCAGGCTGCAGACAAAAGATATAATTAGGCTTGTTTTTGTAAAAATTATATATATCATATAATGAAACCAGCTGTGGCCATCAACTGATAATTTATATCATTGGTAAACAAGGAGTAATAACAAATTACCGTTCCAGCACACGACTTTGATGACAAAAATGTATGGTGCTTCATTCGTGAAAGACCAAAATCACAAACCTGTAGAAAGACAAACAAGAAAAAAATAATAATATATCAACTTTTAATAGTTTATAAAAAGGATGGGAAAAAGGCTTTTCAGTTGTCACAAAATGTCAATGCCTGACAATGCAAAGTTGAGAAAATACTTTCTTTAATCGAGCTTTAATTAGAATTAGTATGAACAAAGTTAATCTTCCTATAACATTTCTATTTCTATCACTTGCTGGAGTTAAAATTGAAAATAAATTATTTACTGAAAATTCTTCATCAATTTTAATACAACAACAATGAGAACAATAGTAATCAATACTGAACAATAGCAGCAACGGTCAGCAACAAGGTTTGGATATCGATTCAATTTGGAATAGCAGTGGCAATGCCCCCAATCACAGCACAAACAGCAGTGCTATAGTGGACCTTTTTGAAAACCCACTTTTGCCCTGGGAACAGGGCTGGGTGATGGGAATGAAGATTTTTCTCCCCTTTGTAGAATTTTAAAAATCATTAATTGGTTGTTTACTGGTCACTCCTAGGCAACAGAGACTGACTAACACCAGCTGAACTTCCTTCCAATTTTGTGCAACCAACACCCACCAATCTCAAGCAAAATTTGCAGTTGTTAAGGTTCCAATATAAAACCAATTGAGAATATGTGGAGTAGTCTAACATATATTTAAACCATACCAAATAACATGAGGTAGGCGATGTGGGACTATCAACACGTCCCCTCCAATGAAGCCTGCCGGACCAGGCAAAGAGTATTTTGACCCAACTAAAGGGCAACTTTTGGCCCATGACAATAACCGGAAAGATGTTAGGCTTTGGCTCTGATACTATGTTAAGGTTCCAACATAAAACCAATTGACAATATGTGGAGTAACCTAACATGTATTTAAATCATACCAAATGACATGAGGTAGGCGATGTGGGACTATCAACAGCAGTGACACCAACCCTTCACTCTATTCTCTGTTCTGAACTCTAAACCTTCAATTTCCTTGAATTTGAAAAGCGATTATGTCATTTGAATTTTGTTTGATTCCTTCACTTTTATTCTTAATTGCTTGTATGTTTTGCTTAAACCTATGGCTTTATTGTTAATTATATGCAAGGGTATTATTTAGCATTAATATGTAATAGTATAAATCATTTAATTTGTATAAAAAACATTACAATAGTGGTCGTCTCACTATGCATTATACAGTAGCATTTTTGGGTCGACTGCTTTGCACTATTATCCAAGATTTCCAGTGACACCAACCCTTCACTCTATTCTTTGTTCTGAACTCTAAACCTTCAATTTCCTTGAATTTGAAAAGCGATTATGTCTTTTGAATTTTGTTTGATTCCTTGACTCTTATTCTTAATTGCTAGTATGTTTTGCTTAAACCTATGGCTTTATTGTTAAACATAAATGCCATGGATATTATTTAGCATTAATATGTAATAGTATAAATCATTTAATTTGTATAAAAAAATTACAATAGTCGTCATCCCACTATGCATTATACAGTAGCATTTTTGGGTCGACTGCTTTGCACTATTATCCAAGATTGGTAAAGATGATATGCATCTGTAATGGCAACATATCAAATTTCACTGGGATCAATATAAATCATGTTATGGGAACATATATTACAGAATTTCACATGGTTAACTCAAAAATCATTCTGATTAATTATCAATTATATGTTGTGATGAATTCATTTAAATACAATTGTTAGTATTCTTTAATAAACCACTTATCATAGATTGGTTTTACTTGTGTGCATACCACAACACAAACATTATCCCACTATGCTAGCTCGACCACATTGATCACATTACGGGGTTCAACTTTGTTCAAAAGACAAAAAATTAAAAGAGATTTTTTATTCACCATGAAATCCCTCTTAAATCCCTCCAATGTCCTCTCCTCCTTTTCATAGGACTAAAAAACATACACTCTTCTCATAGGGCCTCTAGTGGCCTTCTTCGTATGAGTCCAAACCACTTTAACTAACTTACTAGATCTTTCCCTAACCCAACGTCATGCTAACTTTTGAAAGTCCCACATTGCCTACCTCATATCATTTGGTATGATTTAAATACATGTTAGGCTACTCCACATATTGCCAATTGGTTTTATGTTGGAACCTTAACATGGTATTAGAGCCAAAGTCTAACATCTTTCCGGTTATTGTCATGGGCCAAAAATTGCCCTTTAGTTGGGTCAAAAGTACCCTTTGCCGGGTCTGGAAGGCTTCGTTGGAGAGGGCGTGTTGAAAGTCTCACATCGCCTACCTCATGTCATTTGGTATGGTTTAAATACATATTAGGCTACTCCACATATTACCAATTGGTTTTATGTTGGAACCTTAACACTAACATCTTGAATAAAACAATTTTATATTTTGTACTTGTGTAACCAGACCTTTATTTAACTTTCTCATTTAAGCTACTCTCACCTTTTTCTCATATAGTCCTTTCAAAGCCCAGTATTCACTACCATAAAGTGTAGTCAGATGTGAAACAAGATGATAAAACTTGCCTTTGAGTTTAGTAAATACTGTGATCACTAATAACCCCTAAAGTCTTTTTCTGCATTCTTAGCCATATTGCTTCCTATCTTGCTTATGACA